GGTGACGGCATTCACATACACCTGTATTTCCCAGCTCCTACAGGAGACGTAATGGATAATTCAAAACGAAAAGTCATCGTGAAACAGAGATGAGATGACAACCTTTATTGCAAGAAGGTTAAATTAGACATGTGTCCAAAAATAACTATCTGACTCGCTCTCCAATCCACAACGACAAAGGAAAATTCAACACTCCACAAAAGAGCGTTTTCTCTTTTCTAAGAAACTGCAAACGGCATACTCTAACCTTGACCTCAGAAGTGTTGCGGTTTCTGTTTTCCATCAATGCTGAGGTTTAGAGTGGCTAAAACACAGAGATGTGGGTGATAGAGGAAGATCATAAGCTGCCACAGGTGGGAAAACAAGGATGCATGCTCTGGCTATTATAAATAACTCCAAAACACACTTAACAATGAAACTTTACAAACAGTTTGTATGGAATGTAAGAGTGCCTGCCTGCTTTCTCAGTGGTGCTGGTTCCAGAAAGTATTTTTTCCATTCATTTTCCCAATAGGTATTTTAAAAAGTCTTCATTAAGGCACTATAATCTATGAACCAAACCAGCCAGCTATAAGGTGAATCACAATGTTTCAAACTTTTATTTAAAGAGTATGTGTAAATCGGACAAAAAGACAAAGGTACAAAACTGTGCACTTAACGGCTTTAATGGGGGAAAGAACTAATCCCATGGACCATTGCAAATGACATAATCAAATGAAAAACAATGGAGAAATATATAACGATATAATGTCATATGTGGTACTTAATGGGAGTGGGCGGAGCTCAGCGCTCGTTTGGCACGATTTCCTCACTACAATTCTGATTGGTGGAATTTTCTTTACAGCATCAGGCGTAAAGTGATTTTTCACGGGGGATTCCACTGTTAAACATAACTATTTAAAACAAGTTGAAAAATGCAAAGTGATGCCTTCAACAGAAGCATATAGCAGCGATTAACTACCTCCGAGCTCACAGGTCATCTTTAAAGGTTTACATGTTATCACTAAAAATCAATTTCCCTATAGAGAAAATGAATGGCATTTTTAGTCCTGGAACACTCGGTAACCATCGCGTCTGAAATCGCATACTTCCCTACTATACTGTATGCGAAAAACAGTTTGTGAGTTGAGCAGTATGTCTGAATTCATAGTATTCGAAAAACAGTAGACGAAAGTACCCAGACGACCTATTCTTACACTCGGGTTCTGAAGTGTGCATTCGATGGACACTTTACTATCCCATGAGGCCACCGGAGAGGATTTATGAATGCCAGTGAAGCGACAACTGATGCAGGTAGGTCATGTGACAGTAACAACATGGCTTATGAAGTATGTCCGAATTTCATATAAATACCTACACTCTAAAAAATGCTGGGTTGTTTCAACCCAACTTGGGGTCAAATATGGACTAACCCAACCGTTGGGTTAAATTTTTGTATTAAATTTTTAACCCAAAAGTTGGGTTAGTCCAGTTTTGACCCAAGGTCGGGTTGAAACAACCCAGCATTTTTTAGAGTGTATATTCATAATATATAGTCTAGAATTTACTTTTTTAAAAGGGGTCATGAACTGCCTTTTTTAAAATGACTTCGTACTGTTCTCTGAGGTCAACTTATAATGTTATCAAGATTTTTACATAAAAAAACATTATCATTTAGAAGTAATATGTTATTTTCTGTCCTGTTTTGACCCCCTCAAGCATAAGATTTGATTTGGTAATGTAATCAAATTGATTTTAGTTTACCTCGCACTCTTTTACCATTAGAAATGAAGCACTGTGCTGAAATATGTTCAGTTTTTAGAAACAGTTAAGCCCCGCCTTCTTTGATTTGATTGGTCATTGACATTGACAATGTTAGACCGCTATTTTTTATGCCTGTAATCCCGACTACTGTGTTACCCAAAATGTGCCGTATATAAAGTGTACTGTACTGGAAATGATTTTCGTTGCACACGGTTTCGCCTACAATAAATAGTAAGCAGTAGAAAGTATGATATGCAGTATGTACAGTAATAACGGGACACCAATTTACCAAATGAGCTTCATTGCAGAGATCCCGTTAATTCACACAATAATGAATTATTATTAGGAAAGTCAGCTGAAAACTCCGCCCTCCAAGGACATTATAGACAACCTGCTGACAGAAAACTCTACTCGTAAAATGATTGACAGACAAAGAGCCTTTTGATTGTCCAGGTATTCTAATTGGCTCAATTAGCGCGGGCCGCTCTCTCTCTCGCTATTTACAGAGTCTAGTGATAAACAGGTGTGGGGGGGGGGGAATCGCCTACTCCACCTTTATTAAAGCAGCGCATCGGGTGAACAAACATGCACGCGGGATATATATTCCATGCAATAATTAGTTAAGTGCACATTGATTACGATCATATTCTCACGGAGCCAAAATAATGTTTAGTAAAACAATACAAAGTTAAAATAATACAAGAGATACGGAACACAACGCTCAGTCTTCATTCTAAGCGCGTGGAATAAATTAATCAGCTTGCCAGACCACAAAAACCGATCAAAAGTCTGCAGTTATAAAGATGCTTCTTACACAAAATGTGCACTGCAAAAAGTGCACGCTATTATTTTCAGTGGTGAGTAAATAAACGAGGTTGTGCATACTCACAGTTGTAAGAGATGTCAACCACAGGATCCCGCGACACGAGCGCATGTCTCCAGCCGTGCCCACAGCGCGCGCTGACAGCTGTAGTTGGATCAAACGCTTTATAGACTGAATCTGGCCAATCAGAGGAGAGAGAGAGGAGAGAGCGCACATCATTCATAGTGCTGTCTTCAAAACCTCTGCATCTCTGCTGCAGGCAGCGCATTGCACTTTTTACAGCTCGCTTTACTTTCCTCAAACCAGACAAGAACCTGTTTTTTAGTTGCTGCTTTGATATTGACTATTTGTTCTAGAACTGTAAAGCTTTGGGTTAAAATTGATTAATGTGTAGATTCAATTTAAAGTTCATGTGCAGATCATTTCATATTTAGGCGTACTACAGTATTTATTTTTATGGAAGCTACTTTTTATCTCGCAACTTTGAGATGTCAACTCAGAATTCTGTGGAAAAATTTCAGAACTGCACTCTAGAAAAAAAGGTTAATTGAGGTTCTGTATAGAACCCTAGGGTTCTTTACTCAACTCCAAAGAACCCTTAATGACAAAAAGGTTCTATATAAGCAGAAAGAACCCTTTTTGGCACAAAACTACATTATATTTGTTTGTTGGATTATATTTGTTCAATTTTACTGACACTTTTCATTCTGCAGAAAATACATTTAAAGTGTATGTCTGCACTTTTTTAAGTTTAAGTTTTAAAATAATTGCCACATGATCCTGTACACTGAAAAAATGGCAACATCCAAATGAACTGGTTTCACTGAAGTCTAAAATACTTAGTATGACTGAATCAACCTAAATACATTCATTTATAGCAACAAAACTATCAGGTATAGAAATGAAGTGAAGAAAGGTGGTTTACCGTGTTGTCCAGGTCTGAGTGTGCTATTTTGTCAATTTCAGAATATTATAAATAAAAGTGTGAATAAATAAACATGGATTTGTGTTCATTCCTGTAACTGTTGCACTGTTGCAAAGTGATACATCGCTAGTGATAAAGTATATGAGCAGCTTAAGTCTTCAAATTTAATTAAAATAAAACAAAAATTAAATCCATAATATGATCCCATGATGGGAACCCCTAAAAGGTTCTATACAGAACTGTTTTCCTGGCTACAAAGAAGAGTTTTGATTGAACCCTTAAAAAAGGTTCTACAGTATATAAAACCTTTTTCTTGAGTGTGCATGATACAAACATAGAATTGGGAGATAAACACTCTTAATTCTGAAGTAAATTGTTACTTTTTCCCCACATGGAATAAATAAAGTTAGTTGCGACTATATTTCACAATTCTGACTTCTCAGAATTGCGACTTTATATCTTACAGTTAGTAAGAACTCAGAATTGCGAGTACAATTATGAACTGTGAAATAAAAAGTCGCAACTACCTTTTACATTTTTTTATTCCCTATAGCTGTGGTGTGGATTGCTTGTGGATTATTGTGATGTTTTTATCAGCTGTTTGGACTCTCATTCTGACGGCACCCATTCACTGCAGAGTGTCCATTGGTGTGCAAGTCGCAACTACCTTTTTAATTTTTTTATTCCCTATAGCTGAAACTGGCGTCCATCATTGTTTTAAATGTAAATGTACTTTTTAAATACACTTAAATTGTGTACTCTGTATTTTTTGCTAATTTTTGTTTTTTTTGCACAATTAATAGCATTTTTGAATAATATTAAATGATGTACACTTACTTGAGATGAAAACTTCAATGAATTTCACACTCCCTGAAGCAGTTTGATTCTACATGGAGAAGGTCGCCCCCCTCATGTTGACATCACATGACCAACAATGTCCCGCAAACCACCAAGTTACCAGCAGAAGGTCTATAATGATCTAGTGAGCAACACACCACATACTGTTTCCAGTACAGACTCAATTAGGCCTATTCAGAAAAATGTAAAAAGCCTGTTTATCATCATGTGCAGACAGACAAGAATATGCTTATGAACAAGCGAAGCAGTTGCACTTAATGTTGAACTGATTCAACTTTATTACATTTAAAGGGTTCTGCAATTTGTAAACATTGCGCTGTGATTGCATAGATTCACAAATATCATCGAATTCAGTTACATTCATGAAATAGTCACAATTTCCTGAACAACCCCTTCTAAAAGTTATTTAAAATGCATCAATTTATTTAAAATACCATTTGAAAACTCCTGTAAAACAGCAAGTCCTATTAGGAAAATATTTAAAATTGCACATAGTTCAAAAAGGAGCTTGAGATACAATATAAATATATAAACAGATCTTCTTAAGAGCAGCAGTCTAGATCAGCTTTGTCACCTGGAAATTTATATGCGAAACTTACACCTGAATAAACATGTGTCTTGCATATTTGCTTTTCAAAGTTGTTAAAAACAAACAAAAAAACAAGACGGTTCATTAAATGCACATTTAACAGCCTTAGTGTTCATATTACTAATGTTTGGTGATCTACCAGGATGAAGATTCAGTGATGCATATACAGAAAGGAGGCATTCAAAGATAAAAAAAAAACTGAGCCTTATATTTTGCAAAAATAGACTCTGTGCAAGTGCTAAATGACAACACAGTATCTGCCATTTAATTCAATATATTGTATACAAAATAGTGCATGGAGTGGATTAAATAAAAAGTGCCATATTTACCTGTATATATTGTGAATATATAATGCTTTAGATGACACAAGAATAGTGAGTAGATCAATTTTGCTGTCTTACCAGAGACAATTTGACCTAGTTGGTGGGGTCTACAAAAAGACTATACTTTTACAGGACTTTGTCATGACACAACATCTTAGCATTCCGCTTTGAGTTAAAAAAAAAAAAAACACAGGAGAGTGTTGTAAACGCAGCTTATTGCTTTTGTGAATCATACAGTTTGAACTGGTATGAAATTCTCCTCGTGTTCCTATAAAAAGACCTAATGCAGCATTTCTTTAAAAAAAATATGCCAAAATACAGTTAACAAGGGGAAAAAGTTGTTTTTCCTGTGTACTTGGTAAACTCAGAGCACATACTATCGTGTTGGATAACTGTAGTGGAAGTGTAGTGTGATATCTTTGCAAACTGCAGCCATTTTTGGATATCTCCAAGTCTTGTTTGCAGAAAAAAAATGTCTTAAATTGTATTTTCTGTCATATGCAGATAGAAATTAAAATGACTTCTCTGAATTGAATTAAATCACTCAAAAACTTGCTTAAAATCTACTTGCCCGCAGGTCATCCAAGATGTAGATGAGTTTGTTTCTTCATCAGAACAGATTTGGAGAAACTTAGCATTACATCACTTGCTCACCAGTGGATCCTCTGCGGTCAATGTCTTAATGATTTGTTTCTTACAAACACGCAGCTTTTCGATTCACAAGATGTTAACTGATGGACTGGAGTGGTGTGGATTATTGTGATGTTTTCATCAGCTGTTTGGACTCTCATTCTGACGGCACCCATTCACTGCAGAGTGTCCATTGGTGTGCAAGTGATGCAATGCTACATTTTTCCAAATATGTTCTGAAGAAGAAACAAACTCATCTACATATTGGATGGCCTGAGGATGAGTACATTTTCAGCAAATTTTTTTAACAATTTTTTAAGGCTTAAATTGTGATTGCCTCATATTCTTTGCATATTTACCTGTGTGAGCATCAATTGTCCTGTATCACTGATGCTTTGAATTCATCTGTAGTGTTTGTAAAATCATTTTAAAATACTGAAGCCACAAAAAAAGTGTCAAAAGCAAGTACATATGCTGTAGAAACTGCTTCATAACACAGGTCACAGTGAATAACCTGAATGCTATCAGCGATAAACCATAACTAATACTATTCTAACCCATAAAACTCTTAAGCAGAAACCCTTGACACACAGGAACAGATCTGAATAAGGATAAAAATAAAACAAAGTTCCCACACACCACAAAGCCACATTTAAGGGAAGTCACTTCCATCATAGACGATGGGCTTCTCGATGGTCAGGTGGTAGTTGACCTTCTTGGAGAGAAATCTGTAGAAAAGAAAACACAGGAGAAACAGAGATTGTTTCAGTCCATCCTTCCAATTAATAACTACACTGTCAAATATATATATATTTTAAAGTTGTAAATAAAACAAAGATTATTGCAGAATGTTTGAAAAGAAAATACTATTTCAGTTTTTCTACTTCACTATATTGTATTTATATGTTACTTGCCGTTTCTTTGTAAGTGTTAGCAGAATTTACTAGAAATATCTGAGTGAATATTGCTTCTATACCAATCTTTTTTTCAGTGTGCTGATATCTTAAAAAGTCATTCTAATTTTAGTGCATAAGCAGCTAATAGCGCTGACATTGTTTCCAATAGTTTGATGTTGCTAAGATAATGGTATGCATAAAGAACTCATAGCATGTATGATACTGTAAAATAATTTAAAATCAAGTTTTATACTTCTCAGTACTGAATGCAATTTGTATATTTCTCTCAACAAGCTTGTCACAATGTGCATGTAATATAGTGCCACGAGTTCAAGACTTTCTGCCTTTTTAAGGCCTTCATTTGTGGATGGGTGAATGAATACTTTTAAGACCCACAGAAAGCCTGTAAAATGCACTGCACAGCCTGTATAATTTGACACTATACTAAATATCAGCAAAATGCTATCAGTCAAAAGAGTAGATATTTTCTGTGAAGCACAAAAGCTCTGAAAGGTTCTCCGGAGTGTATAAATGTCAGCTGTGTGTTACTGTACCTGGAAAATGAGTTATCAAAGACGAGTGTATAGACTCCAGGATTGCGGACTTTCAGTTGGCCCTGTATGGTCTCTTTATGTGAGTTACAGCGTGTGAGAGGAATCAGAACCTGAACCACAGGGACATAAAATAGATTTAGCACTCTAAGAGGAAAAAAGGCTGCTTTATGGTTATCATTTTAAGGAGTGAGAACAGCTCCCAGAAGATGAAAAGAAGGATGCATTTGAGACACTGCCACACAGAAGGGACCTAACAATGCAAGCTGATGCAACGTCTGTGATGTTTGTGAAGACATGCAGCAGTTTGCACTATCCTAACTGATTATTATTCAACATACAGTTATCATACAAAGTCTAATTTACTGTAAATAACAAAGCGGTCAATGTTGGGTCAAACTTACCAAATTGGGATAAAGCTTAAATAAAGTAATATAAGTATTTGATGAAAACTTCAAAATCTTCCATTTAAAAATAAATAAGTTGAAATGCCAAAACTAAAATAAAAAAAATAATAATACGTTGAAATATTAAAACTGAAATATAAACATGAAAACAATTACATTAATAAACAAAAACTAATATAAATGACAAAAGAACATAAAATTAACCAAAACTCAAACTAAGATTTTAGTGCAAACTGAAAATATATAAATAAAAGCTCATTTAAAATATGAATAAATACTAAACCGCATATAAAAAATATTAAAACAACACTGACTACAAGTTACCAAACACAAACTACATTAGAGCTACTTAGTCAGGCAGTTTTGCTCTGGCAGATTTTATAATGTAATATTTATTAGTATTTAACTTACATAAAAAAAGAGATCTTAATTAGATTGAAAGCATCTAAAGTGCACACATAAAATAGCACTCAATTTAACTAAAATAATAAAAAAAGAATAACCCAGAATTTTCAATAAATTATTTTACAAATTAGCAGGAAACAATGGTATTTGACTAAATATTATTTCGATATAAACAAGACAATGCAAAAGGTTTTAGGTCACTTTGCTTCCTTTTTGAAGCTTAAAAGCCTCATTTTCCATTCCATTGTATGGAAAAAACGTCTTCAGATATTCTCCACATAATTAAAATGTCCTCCTTTTTCACAGAAGGAAGTCAAAGTAAATAATGACAATTATAATATTATAATATTTATTCTAATTTATTTATTACTCCCCAACACTAAAAGTGGGGCAATATTTAGAGTTGTGATCTGAGCTCTGAGAAATCAGTTTTTAAGACGCAAAGAGATACCTATTACCAAATTATATGAGACTCTGCAGAAATGCATTGCAGTTTTTAAAAAACTATCTACTGAGCATCACACTAACAAGGCCATTATTTTACAGTGAGCAACTTCAGTGATGGTCAACTCGTGCATGTGCGAATGAGTGGTCCGTGGCAACCTTTGCATACCAAACAGGTGTTGAAGGCCATGTATGTGTGTGTTTGTTACCTTGGCATGCTCAACAGGTGTGTCAAGTGTCTCTCTGTACACCACAGTGAAGGAGATGCTCTTGGGCTCGGAAGAGAAAACCCAGCTGATGATGGGCCCTCGGTCGCCCACAGTGATGGGAATGGCACTATAGCAACTGGACTTGACAAACAGTTCACGGGAACCATCACCGAAATGAAGAATCTCATCTATATCCAGAGGCACAGAGGCACTACAGAAAGACACGCACCCAATCAACAGAAATAATAATTGTGTAGCCGGATGATTTTGTGTGTGTGTGTATTCTATAGGCATATACTAACGTGAGTTCTCCTGACTTGAGGAGGGTGATTTCTGTATCCTGTATAGTAGGGACCATCTCTTCCTGTTCATCAGGAGTCACGTCACTCGATATGGTACTGTAAAAGACAATAATCACAACCTACCATAAATAGATGGAACATTTTTTGAAGCTAGAATGTTTGGAATGGTTACCTGGATGTTGCTATGACAAGCGGTTTGAACGCTTGTTAACGGGTTGCTATGTGTTTGCTTGATGGACAAAGTCATAAAGAAAAATCTGCCCTTATGTCTAAACTGTCTAAAAAGACAAATTAAATTTTTTTTTTTTAAAGAACAGTTCATTTAACTATGAAACCATTCTGTATCTTTCAGACCTCAAAACGTCCCAATACAAAAACTAAGCTGCAAAAATTAGTCCTTCTGAATTTGTGCAGCTGTATTATTTTAATGAATACAGAAGAATACATTTGAAATTGAACGCATGAATTCCCAAACACACCACCTTTCAAAAAATTTGGGGTCGGTAGGATTTCTGAAAGTCTCTTATGCTCACCAAGGCTGCATTTATTTAATCAAAAATACAGTAAAAACAGTAATTGTGTAATAATATTAAAATTTCTATTTGAATATATTTTAAAATCTAATTTATTCCTGTGATGAAAAGCTGAATTTTCAGCGGTTGTACTGCTGAACATTTTTGTGAAAACATGTTTTCAGCATTTTGTGATGAATAGAAGGTTCAAAAGAACAGCATTTATTTGAAATAGAAATTTTTAGTAACATTATAAATGTCTTCACTGTCACTTTTGATCAATAAAATCCATCCTTGCTGAATAAAATTACTTTCATAAAAAAAAATCTTAATCACCCTAAACTTTTTAACAGAAGTGTGTGTGGTGTTTCTGGAACTCCTGCTCATTTCAGTGTGAACTTATCAGTTTGTGTCACAATGTAAAGCAGCTTTACAGAGAGCCTCTTATTGAAGGATGAAGCAGCCAAAATCTCAATTGGGCCCAACAGCAAATCTGCAAGCAAGAACCATTTTTAATTTAAAACGCAAAAATGGTGTATGCATCGAACTCTTAAAGGCACAGAGGCAAAAAAATGGTAATTAACATGCACATATTAACTGTCACTTTTGATCAATAAAATCCATCCTTGCTGAATAAAATTACTTTCATAAAAAAAAATCTTAATCACCCTAAACTTTTTAACAGAAGTGTGTGTGGTGTTTCTGTAACTCCTGCTCATTTCAGTGTGAACTTATCAGTTTGTGTCACAATGTAAAGCAGCTATACAGAGAGCCTCTTATTGAAGGATGAAGCAGCCAAAATCTCAATTGGGCCCAACAGCAAATCTGCAAGCAAGAACCATTTTTAATTTCAAACGCAAAAATGGTGTATGCATCGAACTCTTAAAGGCACAGAGGCAAAAAAATGGTAATTAACATGCACATATTATGATGTGTTTGATGCAAACAATAAAAGAAAAAAAAACACAATGACTCAAAAAATAAAAAATAAAAATCTTTCCATCAAAACTCTCTCCTTTCCCGGGGAGTGCATATAATTACAGAAACCTTGTTCACCCACAGGAAAATGATCTTTTGAGGTTGCTGTAGAATTATATGCCAGGCAGGTGCTCATCTCAGAGTGACAAATGTTAGGAAATGCACGCAAGATGGCATGAAACGCATAAATTGACAGTCATCATCCCCTCTGCAATCAGTCTCCCGGCAGGACTTCCTGTCTGTCTGTAACACTTATTTATGGAAGCATCACAGCACAATTTTCTAAACAGAGGCCTAGTGATGCAGCCTGGGGAATCTTGATAACACTGCTACAAATTGGACCATTCTAAGTGTGATTGTGAGGACATGGGAACGTTTTAGTGCGTCCATTATCCCTGGTCTTTTCTTTTTTGTGTGTGCAGATTGTGCACACTTCATACAGAAGTGCACAATTCTTTATATGATTTCATTTAATACATGCGGTTCCTTATTTAGTCCCTTTATGATTCTTTTAAAGTTAAAAGAATGGAAAATGTCTTGCAATAAAACGATGCCTTTCACATAGTCTTATTGCAATAATAAGTCTAAAAGCATCATTATTTGCAAAAAACTACACACCTTAAGCAGCATATACCATAAAACTGAGCTTTTATTTTTGTTTACTTTTGCCTAAATTCAAATGGCAGAAGCATATCTGAAAACCAGGTTTAAAGTTTAAGGTAGATTAGTTCACCAGGTACACTACTGTTTAAAAGTTTGGTGTCTGGAAGATTTTTTTTCTCTGTTTCTTATGCGTGTTATATTTGATTGATCAAAAATATGGTAAAAAAAAAAAAAGTATAATTTTAAATGTTTTATTTTTACATTTTTAAAATAGAATTTTCAGCATCATTACTCCAGTCTTCAGTGTCACATGATCTTCAGAAATCATTCTAATATGCTGATTTGCTGCTCAAGAAACACTTTTCTCAATGTTGAAACCAGTTGTTCTGCTCTTTTGAAGTGACACCTTTTTTCAGGATTCTTTAATGAATAGAAATTTCAAAAGAACAGAATGTATTTGAAATAGAAATCTTTTGTAACATTACAGATGTCTTTGAAGTCACTTTTAATGCATCCTTGCTGAATAAAAGTATTGATTTCTTACAAAAATCTTACTGAACCCAAATTTCTGAACATTAGTGTATTTACAGGTGGTGTTGTCTGGGATTATTTGTGTGTGTGTACCTGTTTTTCTATTCTGGTGGGGACTTAAACCTGAATACACACAGACTCATGGGGACTCGTGTCACGGTGGGGACCTAAATTGAGGTCCCCATGGGTAAACAAGCTAATAAGTCAAGTTTTTTGAAAATCTAAAAATGCAGAAAGTCTCCTGTAAGGGGTAGGTTTAGGTGTAGGGTTGGTGTAGGGCAATAGAATATACGGTCTGTACAGTAGAAAAAGCATTACGCCTATGGAGAGTCCCCACAAGGATAGCAAACCAGACATGTGTGTGTGTGTGCATGTTTAAATCCTTACAGTTCTCCAGTTTGCCTTCCATCTCCTTCTTCCTCCTGTGACTCGGTGGTGGTGCGCGAGTCGCTGTCATAGGTCTCATTCACTTCCTCCTCTGTTATGATGTCAAATGCCCCATCATCCGGTTTCTCACCAGGATCTGTAACTGCAAGTGAGGACACAGGACGTTATCAGCCTCAATATGACATCGACCCATGAGAAATGTAAAATTAAGAATGCTGCCTTTAAATGAGCTGAAGTACTAAAATTACTACAACCAAAACTGAAATAAAAATAAATTCAAGCTAAATCGAAATCTTTAAAAAAAATAAAAATTTAATCTGAAAATATCTCTAAAAGCTCGTTTTTAAGTATCATTATCCAGGTTTGAATTACTGCTGATACATAGATGGCGCTGTCACATGGAACTTTACTTTTCTCAATGCTGGTCAGGATGGAGCAGTCACAGACTGCAATGACTGTATATTAATTATTGAAAATATCTAAAGATTGCTGGGGCTGATTTCTATATGCATGTCAGGTATCGAACCTTGAAATCAATAGCATTTGAAAAGTTATCCTTTCTTTAGGACAAATGTCAGAATTTTTATTGTATATGGCTTCTTGAACCAACAGACAGCTCCTTGAGAAAAACATACAGATATATTTATTAACAAGCACTATTTGCTGTCCAATACATCAATGACAGGACTGCTTGTTACAGTCAAGACAAATTTGTGACATTGCACCTGTCAATTACGATGACAAAGCTCTCTGTAGCAAAATTCTGGTCTTTTAGCATTCAGGAATGGACTTCCTGGACATTCAATCCATTCATAAAGACAATCTTCAGACACTAAAGATGAATGCCAAGCAGAACAATATATTTAAGCACTTGAAGGTTCTCTCAATATGTGCTGCTGTATTCACACACTCAGAATGAAAAACCCACTCAACGTTGACAGCACCTTTTTTATCAGTAATTATGTAGAGAGTTTACAGGAAAGAACAGTAACTTTTATGCTTGCTAGGGGAGTTTTGAGGTGCCCTTAAATGGAAAAAGTTTCCTGAATTTAAAACGTAAAGCATAACTACTCAAGTAATTTTACATTCAAGACCTCCTGGGAAGTTCCTACATGCAAGACAGAAACTATGACATAATAAAGAATAAAATGGACAAGTCTCTTTTTTCATTGTCAGGAGGCAGAAAGCTTTTTAGCACTAATGCAACACAATGAAGAGTAAATGATGCACATTTGGTGTGCAATTTAAGTTTTTTCCATCATGAGAAATGCAAGTTAATTGCACAAGTGTGTCTTCATGAATCAGTTAAATGAGACGTTTTCTGCCAACTCTTCATAAACAAAATGCATACAGATGAAACTACACAGTTAACATGTACATAATTACAACTTTTAAGGTGGCATTCATGTGCAATCAACTCTTAAGTATTTTTATGGTCTGTTTTTGGCTGCATCTGTACCTGTAACTCTTGGTGTGGGTATATAGGGTGGTGGTGGTAGACCGGAAGCATTTGCATGAAGCTGTGGTTGATTCTCTGACGAGCTGCTGAGTTCAGCTTTCGTGAATCTTTCCACCACAGCGTTGTGCTGCATGTAGCAGTCTCGGCAGCAGCGCTCCTTCTTTGAGTTTTTTGTCATCACAAAATTATTGCTGCAGTAGTAACAGAAGATACGGCCACACAACCTGCCAAGAACACAGTATAACAAAAGTCAGCATATTTGGCACAAATGCATCACTAAAGTTCTTTATATACAGTCTGAAATATTGTACTATGATGAACTTTTTTTTAAGTCAATTTAGGTGTCCAAATATTTTTTGTTGAGCTTGATGAAAATTTCAGACTCAGTGTAAATCGCTCTGTAGCAGAAAATAGTTGGCAAATTACTTATCAGGTCTTAAAATATGAATTATATTACATTTTTACATAATGCAAAAATGTAATCTAATCCATAAGTACTGAAAACAGTTTGCCCAAAATGAAAATTTGCTGAAAATGAACTCAGGCCAAGATTTGGAGAAATGTAGCATCACTTGCTCACCAATGGATCCTCTGCAGTGAATGGGTGCCGTCAGAATGAGAGTCCAAACAGCTGATAAAAACATCACAATAATTCACAAGTAATCCATATGACATGAGTCCATCAATTAATGTCTTGTGAAGTGAAAAGCTGTGTGTATGTAAGAAACAAATCCATCGTTAAAGCGTTTTAACATTGAACCATCGCTTCTGGACAAAATAAAGCCCATAATAATAAAAATAATAATGCTTCCTTCAGTGAAAAAGTCCAATGCCCTGAGGTCCTTTCACATCAAAATCCACTGACATATTTCTTTAGAACTGTTTTGGATTGTTGTTTTGGTCATTTCTCTCCTGATTCAGTCAGACGAGATGACTTTTTCACTGGACAAAGCAATATTATGATAGAGGATTAATACTTAAAAAAAATCTTGATGTATTTGTTTCTTACAAACACGCAGCTTTTCACTTCACCAGAGGTTAGTTGATTGACTGGAGTGGTGTGGATTATTGTGATGTTTTTATCAACTGTTTATAGACTCTACTTTTTCACTGGACAAAGCAATATTATGATAGAGGATTAATACTTTAAAAAAATCTTGATGTATTTGTTTCTTACAAACACGCAGCTTTTCACTTCACCAGAGGTTAGTTGATTGACTGGAGTGGTGTGGATTATTGTGATGTTTTTATCAACTGTTTATAGACTCTCATTCTGACGGCACCCATTCACTGCAGAGGATCCATTGGTGAGCAAGTGATGGAATGCTACATTTCTCCAAATCTGTTCTTCCGATGAAGAAACAAACTCATCTACATCTTGGACTGCCTGTGGGTGAATTTTCTTTCTGGGGTGAACTATTCCTTCAATGTACTCAAAGAATTGCAATAAAACCTCAGGATGTGTCTAAAAGACCTGAGGTGAGGATTGACTTAGAATTAATTGCTCTAAGTGATGGTGTTTATTTGCAATTTTTGTCTGCATTGTTTCAGCCAGATTGACTAAAGTCATTATGCAGATCAGGTAGCAAAGCAAACAGACAAAAATGTGTTATGTTTGCCCAGAAAAAGACAATGATTTAATTTAAATTCCTCCAGTGCTAAACCTGCACATACTGACAGATTTGGACACTCAAAACTCACTTAAAAATGCATGAATATTTTGTTGAATAAATGCTTTTTACAATACACACTTTCAAATATAGTGTAATTTCATTTCAAGAAATATAACCATTTTTTCAGCAAAACATTTCACAACAAAAACATTAGCACTGTGCGCTAAACTAACGTGGTGTGATTGCTAAATCTTTCTTCAAAAAATGTGTACAATACTATGGAAGTCCGTTTCCGCCACTGAATAAAAAAAAAAAAAAGGTAATTGCGACTTTTTATCTCACAATTCTGACTTTTTTCACAAAATTGTGAGATATAAAATCAGAATTCTGACTTTTTTTTCTCAGAATTGCGTGATATAAACTCACAATAAAGTCAGAATTGCGAGATATAAAGTCACAAATGCGAGATAAAAACTTGCAATTCTGACTTTTTTTCTCAGAATTGTGATATATAAACTCACAAATGCGAGTTAAAGTCTAATTTTGAGGGGGGAAAAATACTGATATGTTCTCAGGTTCTCAGAATTATATCTCAATTCTGAGAAAAAAAAGTCAGAATTGTGAGTTTATATCTCGCAATTGCGAGTTTATATCTTTATATCTCGACTTTTTAACTCGCAATTGCGAGTTTGTATCATGCAATTCTGAGAAAAAAAGTCAGAATTGTGAGATAAAAAGTCACAA